GATGGTGTGGACCATGTGGCAGCCTTGCAGATGTCTTGCAGTGGGATGCCAGCCAGCAGGGCAGTGGATGTAGCTTGGGTGCGCATGGAATGTGCACGTGGGTGCTCTGGGAGGTCAGCCTGTGCCATCTCGTAGGCGAGGGAGATGATGGATGACACCCACCACTTGGACAGTCTCTGGGTGGAAACATGTTGTCCTTTCTGTGGGCCCTCGTAGCAGAGGAATAGGTGGTTGGAGCGGCGAATCTGCTCGGTCCTGGACTTGTAGAAGACTAGGGCCCTGCGAACGTCGAGGAAGTGGAGTCTGGCCTCTATCAGGGTGGAGGGGTTGGGAAAGAAGGCCAGGAGGACAATGTCCTGGTTGACATGGAAGAAGGAGGTGACCTTGGGTGTAAAGTTGGGGTCTGGTCACAGGATGGCCTTGTCTCAGTGGAATGTGAGGAAAGGGACATCCGCCCATAATGCTGTCAGTTAACTGGCCTGGCGTGCTAACGTGATGGCAATGAGGAATGTTGTCTTCCATGATAGGAGGCATAGGTCAATTGTCACCATGGGCTCAAAGGGTTTTCTTGTCAGGGCCTGTAAGACAACTGAAAGGCTCCACATGGGAGTGCAGGAGTGCACTGGCGGTGCGAAGTTCTGGATGCCTCGAAGGAAGCAGTGTGACAGGAGGTGGGCGAAAACAGAGGTGCCCTGGATTGGTGCATGGAAGTGAGAGATGGCTGCAAGGTGGACCTAAAGGGATGAGAGGGAGAGGCCAGCACTGACCCGGTCTGAAACTAGGAGAGGATGTGCTCGATAGGGGTGGGGACAGGGTTGAGCCCCTTGTGGGTAGTATGATTTGTGGGTGGAGGGTTTCAGGGTGGCCTGGAGTATGGCAACTACGTTAGGAGGCAGGGAGCGGTATGGGTCTGTCATCCTGGAATTGTCCAGACCGTCAGGAGAAGGGTCACAATGTCCCAGAGTCGGGCTGCGGAGCGGCTGTTTGGCCACTGGGCCCCAAGTATAAGTCATCTTGTTCTAATGTCTGATTCTCATTTTGAACGTTTAACCCTTTCTCGCGAGTTGACGTCTCTCTCGAGCCGTCAGGCATGACAGAAGGGGACCCTGGTGATGAGCCTGTCTGAGATGTCCCACCAGCAGAGGGAGTGTCTGACCACTAGTGAGAGATAAGCGTGGTGGCGTGTGGGCCTTCTTTTGCTGCGAAGGCTTGCACGAACCAGAGTTGTAAGGGCCACATTCTGAGGCGGACAAGATGCAGCACTGCCACCATGGTGACCATGAGGCCTAGGAGTCTCTGAACGGTGTGAGCGGTGGAGGACGGAGCGCTTCTGACAGATATGGCCAGCAGTCTCTGCTCATGGTAGAGGGAGGAAAGCCCTGGTGGGGATGGAGTCCAGGTGAGCCCCTGTGAAGAGAATGGACTGCGTGGGGGAAAGAACAGACTTGTCATAATTGATCATAAGGCCTAGGTTCCCTAGGAGGTCACATGACTTGGAGTCCCTTAAGCAGGTTGTCCCTAGAGGGGGCTGCTAGAAGCCAGTCATCTAGGTAGGGGAAGATCTGGACCCCTGGAGTCTAAGATGGGTAAAGACCACCGCCACGCCTTTGGTGAACACGTGGGGGGCTGTGGCTAGCCCAAAGGGGAGAACAGCGAATTGGTAGATCTCCTGGCCAATTTGGAAGCGAAGGAAGTGCCTGTAGGCCAGGTGGATAGAAATGTGGAAGTATGGGTCCTTGAGGTCAATGGAGGCGAAGCAGTCGCCCTGTCTAAGGAGTGGGAGGATGCCCTGGAGGGTGGTCATCCTGAACTTCCGGGGGGTGATGAACTCGTTGACAGACCTTAAGTGTAATATTGGCCTTAGGCTCCCGTCGTTTTTGAGAACAGTAAAGTAGCAGGAGTAGAAGCCTCGTGAGAAGCCAGAGGAGATGCGTTCAACTGCCCCTTTGGATAACAAGCTCTCCACCTCTGCCATTAGGGCAGGTGAGAGAGCAGTGGTCCTGATGCATCCCAGTGGGGGGAGGGTGTCAAATTCAATCCTATAACCCAGGCAGATTATGGACAGGACCCAGGAATCAGAGGTGATATTCTCCCATGCATGGAGGAACTAGGCCAGATGATCAGTGAAATGGGGAGTAGAAAGGAAAGGGGGGCTGGGGCTGCCTGGACATAAATCCTAGCGCCTGCGCCTGTTATCCTGGAGCTTGGGCAGGAGCCGCTGGCTTGGCCTTCTGGGCGGGAGGGACTGCCTCGGTCAGGGGGGCTAGTCCGAGAAGGGGTGGCAAGTAGGGAGTGAGGAGGACCCTTGCCGCTTACAGGAACGGGCCTTCTGTGTAAACCCCATGTATTCAGTGGTAGTGAGCGCCTTATGTAGGGAATCCATGCTCTCATCTTTGTGGGCATTGAAGAGGCCCTCTCTGTCAAAAGGTAGGTCCTCTATGTGAGTTCTGGTCTCCTGTGGGAGGCCTGCTGACCGCAGCCAGGCATGTGGTCTTGCTATGGCAGTCCACCTGGTGTCTGGTTGACTCCATCTGATATGTGGACAGTTTCACTGCCTCAGATTGTATCAGCTGGGCAGCATCCTGGAGGTTGGTGGGAAGGTGTTCTGCAAAGGCACTCCTCTTCTCCCAAAGGAAGGCATGGTACTTAGACATGAAGGCCTCGTAGCATGTATGCCCAAGGGAGAGGCTGCATAGCCCTTCTTGGCTAGGCTGTCCAGATGGCGCCCTTCCTTGTGCACAGGCATGGAATGCTCCCTCTGGGGGGTCCCCTGCATGGACTCCACTATAACTGAATTGGGTTTAGGGTGCTGGTGCAGAAAGGGAGATTTCACAGATAGCTTATAGGTGGAATCAATTCTGCATAATAATGAGAGGGCAGCCGCAGGGGTCCTCCATGACTGCTGGGCTGTGTGCAGTACTGCAGGCAGCAGGGGGAGTGAGGCCGACAGGGAGATGAGAGCAGGGAGCCATACACAGGGCCTTCTGCGGCTCTGCAAGGGTGGAGGCCTGAACTCCCCAGTCGTCCGCCATGAGGAGGACAAGGTCTGCGAATTGCTCCCTCCCTCCTGGTGACATAGTGGGGTCCTGCTCCAGGGCCTAGACCTCGGGGGAGCATGTGGGGGAGGCCAGGGATGGTGATCGGGACTGTTGCAGGGAGAGGCTCTGACCTGACTCTCTTGAGAAAGACCAACGGTGATCAAGGGTGCTGTGCACTCAACATGGTGCTGGAGAGTGGGAGGAGACGGGTGCTGAGGTCATGGGAGGCCTGGTGGTCTGGGCTGGAGTCCTCGGCATCCCTCCTGTGCGCTCAGGGCTGGAGGCAGAATCACTCTCCTCCTGGTGCTGGGCCCTGTGGGCATGGTGAGTAGGCCGGTCCTCTTCAGCATCGGAGGATGCCCCACACTGTCGCTCCAATGGGTGGTGGTGTGGGGAGGGCAGTAGACTGGGGGTCTGCTCCACAGAAGAAGAGTCAGAGGAGGATAGGTCCTCTGATTCAGTGTGGCGCCTCCTCTGTTACTTTGCCATCAGGGCTGGTGGGTCCAAGGAGTCAGACCGGTCATACGAGTGCGTTGAGGCCGGGGACCAAGATAAGGATCCTTCACAATTAGGGGAGGGGGAGCGCAGCAGTGGTCCCATGGAGGTGGAGGGCTAGGCGGCAGGCAGGGAAGGCATCACCCACTCACGGCTGTGCGGGGAGGCCACAAGTCTATGGTGTAGTGTGTCTGGCAGCAAGGAAGGCTGGGTGAGCTCTGGAGGCAAGGCCTGTGTTGAGGCGGCCCACGGTGAGGAGCATGAGGGCCTGCCCGGGGAGTCCACCTCCATGGGCACAGGCGTCTGGTCCAGGGCCGCCCCCAGGTTTGGCATGCGCGGGCAGTCGTTGCAGGGCAAGGCAGCTGGTGAGGGGGGCAACCTAGTGCTGTGGCGTCTTGAGTTTCTTGCTCCTGATGTTTCTTTCCAGGAGGTGGCAGTGGTGGCCCTCTTCTTCAGTTGCTTCATTGGGTGGGGAGGCTCATCAGTAGAGGGTGGCCTTTTGGCATCCGGTTGCGACGGCTTGCCCACACTCAGAGCGTGTTCCCAGGTGGTGCGCTCGCTACTGGCGGGTTTGTTTTTGAACGCCTGGCAATGCAAGCAGGTTTCAACCATGTGTCCCTCTCCAAGGCAAAGAAAGCAGCAAGAATGGCCATCCGCTGTAGGCATCCAGGCGGCGCAGCTGGAACAGTGGCGGAAAGCCAGGTCAACCATGAGAGTCAAGCCAGGGAGGCATGTAGAGTACAAGTAGGATGGCTGCAGAAGGAGAGGCGGGAGGCAGTGGGAAGTGGCCTCGGAGGGCAGGTAGAGGTTTGAGGGTAGAGAAACGTTTAGAAAAGCGAGGGGGGGGGAAGAGAGAGAGAGAGAGAGAGAGAGAGAGAGAGAGAGAGAGAGAGAGAGAGAGAGAGAGAGAGAGAGAGAGAAGCAGGGAAGGGAGGGGGGAAAGGTGAGGCTAACTGAGTGGAGAAGTTCCGATCCATGAGCGACTGCATGTGCAGTCAAAAAGGAACTGAGGGAATGGGTGGGACCACCCCCCATCCTACTTTCAGAGGGGGGAGTCTCCCGCCCACTCCATTCTGCTGAGCTTTAGAAGTTTTCTCTCCGATCCAGGCCTTGCACTGTGTGACAAGCCCACTTGTGAGATTGCATAGAGACCACGAAGAAGAAACAACATCATGTGGACCACCTGTAAAATTCTGTGACTCAACCGAGGCAACAGTGCTATAAAAGCCTTATCTAGAAGCACCCCAAAACACTTGTGTTGTAATACTGCAATTATTTCTAGCATACAGTCTGCATTCAGTATTAGAAACAGAATTGCAAAGTTAAGAGGATCCTATTTAAAATAAAAGAGACATGTTATCTGCAACAGATGAACAACTTTTGAACCCCGCTTGTTCCTTTTTAGTACAAATTACAGCTATGCACCCTGTGACTAGCTTGCAACCATTTTCTCCTGGCAGCACTCACCTTCCCCATCAGAACTCATGTTTTCATAGGAATCCCAGCGAATCAATGGGTCGGATGTGTTGTAGTCCACTATTACTCCATGGTCATTCTGCAGGTAGTCACAACCTGAAAGATTAAAGCAAGATTAAAGCATTCAGGTTCCCTGGGCAAATCACTTTTCTGAACTTCAGCTATTTAACAAGAACAAGATACAATTCCAATAAGCAGGAAAAGCACCCCAAATGTTGCAGAGGTAGGAAGGCTCCGTGTTTAAATTCTTCTCTATATCAAAAGCTCTCTATATGTGGGGAAAAAGCTAGCACCTAAGTGAAAAGAGGATCAAGCTGTAAGGCTGCTTATCTACAAGAAATGCTCACCTTGGATTTTTTCTGGGGATCCTGAAAATACTAGTTCAATCTTCCCATAGTCAGGAAAACGGTCATCTGGAAGGGAAAGACAACACTAATTGCTTCAGAAAATTCATTTCCCAGAGAACATCAGGAGCACCTACAGAAATCAAGACTGAACTGTGGAATGAACACAACACTCAGTCTCTTTTGAAAACCCAGTTCTACCACTGACCTTTTAAACATTTCTGACTTTTTTTACCCAAAAGGCAGAAGAGTTCAAAGATCAAACCTTGGTTACAGAACCATATTAGAACTTACATGCATGCACACCACACAAGAAACAGATTATAAGATCTCTGTTTTATCTACAGCAGTTTGTGGTTGCTTTTTAAAAGCTGCAAGCAGAACATAGGATCATAGGAAACATGGAGCACTGTGTCAGCTATTTGGCCTAACAAGCTCAACACTGTCTACACCTAGAGTTGGCAATGCAGCACCCACAATGCTGCAGACATTACCTTTGGTGCCTGCTAGTCATTCCTACACTGCGCTAATTTCCATAGAGATACACTTTCCTCCTCCGCCACTGCCATCTCCAAACCTGGAAGGAAACTTGCCTTTGTTTGCATTATCCAATTCCTCTTTGCCAAACAATTGACCATATCCCTGAATAGCTCCTGTGTGGAACTGCAGACGAAAAATGATGTCACGAGTGGCAGATCGGTATTTTTTATGGTAGCACTTCAACTGAAAGACAGAAAGATACAGATACAGACAATGCAACTGCCAGTATTGCTGCAGTCACCAAGGGCCTAGAACTTCGGAGCACCATTTCTGTCTAACTTGGGCTGATGTGTGGTACAGATAATTGAGTATTGGTTTTGACATGGGAGATCCAGGCTGCAGAACTCTGCTCAGCCATGAAACTCACTGGATGGCCTCGGGCAAGTCCTTTTCCCCGAGATGGACCTGCCTCACACAGTTGTCGTCTCATCAAATCAACAGAGACAGCCAGCCCAAGCTTTCGGGAAATGGCATGATGTCTTCTTTATGCTGTTTTCCCTAAAGTACTTCAAGGCCATGCTGCTTCTTAGTTTTCTGCCCATTTGCAATATATTCATGAACCTAGCAAAGCCTAGCTCTCAGCAATGCAGCACAAAGAGTACTAAACCAGCAAGTGATCTCAACAGTTTTGGACTGCAGATCAGGACTCATGTGATGGACTGTCCCTCCATTTTGCACACTTTAGTCTCTGCAGATGAAAAGTGAATGCCAGGAAAAAGGATCTGGCCAAACTTTTTTCCCCTGTGAAGAACCATTTGATCATGCGGGATACCTCCTGCAGATTGGCAGTGGGACAATTGGGAAACAGGTTTACAACTGTGTCCTGCTCTCTGGCTGAACAAGCATGAGTAAGATCCAAGCTACATATTGCCACCTTGAAGAAAGAACATATTGAAGAAAGAAGTACACTGACCAGAGGCAGAAATGGCTGCTGCCTGGGTCTTTTATCAGGACTAGCTTCACCCTAGAAAATGAACCAGGTAAGTGCCTCCAGCTGCACAACTAAAGGGCTGTCTGCCCCACCATGCCACACCTTGAACTGCTTTTAACAAGACCAGATCCTTTAAATGTACTCCAGAATCTCCTGCAGTGCTTCAGGGGCATACCCCCGTTTCATGGAAGGAACATAGAAGGAAAGTTGATATGAAGTAGTGATTAGATTGTTGCAGGGGGAGTAGGGAGATCTGGATTCTGATCCCTGCTTAGCCATGAAGACCACTGGGTGATTCTGGGCCAGTCACTGACTCTCAGCGTAAGCTACCTTACAGGCTTCTTGGGAGGATAAAATGGAGAGGTGGAGAGATTATGTAAGCTGCCTTATATTCCTTAAAGGAAAAAATGGTGGACTCTAAATTTAAGTAATAAATCAAATATAAAAAAGCACAGAAACAGAGCGAGTCAGAAGGGGTCCCCCAGACCATCTAGTCTGACCCCCAGCTCCAGCCGGCTCCGCTCATGACATGCCCACCATATGCATATCCAGCCTGTCTTTGAACACCCTCACCAATGGGGCCTCAACGACCTCTCGTGGAAGCCCATTCCACACCCTCGGGGTCCTAACTGTCAGGAAGTGCTTCCTGGCATCTAAATGGAACCTTGATTCCCTGAGCTTTGCTCCATTGGAGCGCGTCCTGCCTTCCTCTGCAGTCCATTTGGACCACAGAGATTTTCTTATGATGGGTGGGGATGTCAGTTTGACCTCTTTGTATTAAATATTTAAAAGGCTTAATTCAATGGCTTTTGAATGCTATTTATCTGCTGAAGAATGCTCATATGTTACAAGGTGCACAGGCTGCCTAGATGCAACATTACAAATGTCAATTGCATATCACCCTTGCCTTGCAGAAATGGGGAGATTGTTCTGAAAGAGACACCACTCTGCTGTAGATGCAGTAATGATCAGGGGCAATGAACTAAACTGATCTGACTCTCGAAAAAACTGGAGATGAAGAGCTTTCAGGGGTATCCCCCACTGAATCTAATTGGAACAATAGCAGTGCTTGATAGCTCTGTAACCTTACTAGGTGACACCTGTAGCTGCGCATGAGGTACAGTGACCCCACATATCAAGTATGTTCAGGAGAAGGGAAGCAGATAATGAATTGTCAAAACACCCACAATGGTATTTCCAAACACAGACTATGCTATCTGGTGCCCTACAAGAACTATTGGCATTAGTACTTCTCTATCTTTACAGCTCTGTCATGCCTCAGATCAGAAACCAAGATAGGATTCCCTGAAGAATCACTTGTTCAGAATGCCACATTCCTTCCCTATTATTCATGTGGCAGCTGCAGCATAGCCTGTGGGGCCATCCAAAAACAGGATGCACTCCCAGTTATACCATTCACGCGCTTGATTAGCTGCTTGACTGATTTCCAAGATGCCTGTATTTTATTTATTTGAAGAAGCAAGTGAGAAAGCACCAGGCCTGATTAAGATTTCAACTAGTCACTTTCCTTCCAAATGGTTTGGACTGTAGAGCAGAACAGAACACCACTGTAAAGGTCAAATGTATAGGACCCTGAAGATAGTCAGGGAAAACAAAAAAGTTGAGAATCTTGCTGTGAAGGGTATGCAATTGCACTAGCTTCTTCTCACAAGCAATGATCACTCACTGTTTTGCTTTCCCTTTACTGCTCACCTTATCAGTGCATTTTTTTTAAAGAGTTGCCGAGCACTGACAATCCCTCCACTGTGCTGCTTGGGCTCTTTGAAAGAGCTGTCAGAAGAGAATGTGCAAAAAAAATGGGCATCAAAATTGATAGCATGAATGGGGGGGCAGGGAATTGAAGGGGCAAAAACACCATCACCATGGTGAGTGAAAAGAGCTCACTGTCATGGTAGGGGAAACCCAGCGAGTGGCAGCCACCCCAAAGTGCCACTTGGTCACTTGTAGGGTGCTTGGCGCAGGTGGTAGCTCAGATAAACTTGGTAAGAGTGATCTGTGGGTTCTGTTATTGTTAACAAGCACTAGCCACTTCCTGGTATTCATGATGGGGACAGCATGACAACCCAATAATAATAAAACAGCCCAAGAACCTGGTATGGATTGTCAGGGTAGCTTATTACCCACAAACAGGCTACCCTGCAGGAAATAGTCTGGCTCTGCATGACATGTCACTTCACCATGGCTTGTCACCTTTGATAGGTTGTCATGTCATATGAACACAGTCATTATAGACTATTTAATTTTACCAGAGAGAGAACAAAAGCACTGTGTTAAATTCACCACATGGAATCTACACTATTCATTACACTTAAAGGTAGTGATTTCTTTTATGTACAGATGAATGAAAACTTCACCTACCCAGGGAATGCAATTTTAGTTAGGCTTGACCAGCACACATATTAAAAAGAAAAGGGCATGGATTAAAACAGTGTCAGAAGTACTTTCACAAGCTAACTCCTTTGTACATTATAACTCCTCCAGATTTCGTCTCCTCAGATAATAAACTCCAGGGAACAATTGTGTAAGATATACTTTAAAAGCACCTAATATGGGTGAATTACAGCCCACCTAAATCTCTTGGTAGACCTAAAGGCGTTGTTGTCTCCCTCATACTATATAGAAAGAGTCATTGTATTACCACATTCTTTGTCAGGAAAACATGCATTTCCCATCATTTAAGTTCTGGTTGGTAAAAAGTAAAGACGCTTAGCCCCTCCTCCTACTAAAAACCTTACTCAGCTACATCAGGGCTTCTGAGATTACAGCTGATATTATTACCCACACATATTTTAAGCATCTACTTGTAGCCATAGGAACTGGATTTTTTTTTAAGAAGTGGAGATTCTCAGCAGTTCTGTGCCCAGAGTCAGATTCTGTAATGTCCTGCACTCTAATAAAATCCTGGAGTGCATACAGTGTGGCTGCTATTTTTAGCCATAAATATATGCAACAGGATTCTCCTAAACATGCTATAGACAATAAAGAAAAGATTTGCAAGCTAAGAGATGCTTTTTGCCTAAGCTCCTTTAAAAAAAAGTCTCTGACCATCTCTGACTGGCAATGATTTACTAGAACTAGCACTGTAAGTCAGTCCACTGATTTTGCACAAGCACAAGGTAGCACTGCCAAGTGGAATGCTGCTGCCAATGAATAAATAGCCCTTTCATTAGGTGCCAAAACCAGTGGTTCTTATTCAGGCAAGCTGTGTATACAGTGAAAGGTGCTTTGCCCAAGAATGCTCTGAAGAACATTATGCTAAGAGGACTTCAGGCTCCAGATATATCCCACAATTCAGTCCAAAAGGGACATATTCCTCCCATTCCCCACTTCCTGTTCAAGCCATAGGCTCCTGGCTGCCTTCCTTGCACCAGTGGGATACAAAAGTGTGGCTCCTTACACTTAGGAGAAGAGATCTCATTCTTATCCACAGTGCCAAAGCCACTGCTTAATAAAGGGACAGATACAGTGAGCGCAGCCAAGTAATCATGCAGACTGAACAAGCAACAAGTTTTAATATGCAGTGCCTGAGCTCAAGAGAATCTGCTCTTTGTTCACAGAACATTCTGAGGTATACTGCCTCTGCACATGGAAGTAACGTTTCGCTGTCATGGCTAGAGACCATCCATTGAACTGTCAACTATGCATGCAAGAATCTATGCAAGAATTCATATTCTTTTGTTTTTGAAGAGCTATCTAAGTATCTAAGCCAGGGATAAAGCTCTCACAGTGAATTCTATATTACAATTTCACATTTTGAGAAGAAATATGTTACTTTGTCTTCACTAAACTTTAAGGACGTGCAAATCAACAAGCTCAAGCTCATTAATATTCTCTGAATTCCACTCTGAAGATTGTTCCAATTTGTGCCTGTACCAAATTGTGAACATTTTTCTTCTTCATACACAAAACTGTGTGCTTATTTGCATGCTCCTTGCTCCAAATGTCTACATTAACCAGGTGTGTTTTTAAATCTATATCTTATATTCTTATATCCCACAACTAAAATGCACATTTTTTAAAACCACACACTTTTGTTATAGATTTCTTTTGTTCTGTGAATTGCGTCACAAACTCAAAAATTTGCATACTTCAGTCTCATATCACATGTGAGTTTCAGAATGTGAGAACTTGGGGAATTCTGGCCAAAAATAAACTAAAATGATTTTTTAACCAGCCCCTAGTAAATCAATAAATCAATTTCACTGTGTGTCTGGGTGCTTTATTATTATCGGTGTGGAGAAAATCTACTGTTCCTTTCAACACCTTCCTTAACTTTAGAGACTTCTATTATGTCCTAACCCAATCTTCTTTTTTTCTCTGAAAGATAAAGCTCTCACCTCTTTAGCCTTTTCTGGTATTTCATCCAGGGCCCCAAACTCAACCTGTACTCATCTAAGAGCTTTTCCTGCTATTACCACAGAGTAAAGCCTTACAATAGGCTGAAAAGTTATGCCCTGGAGAAATCTGGAAGGGCAGTTTCCTCAGCTGGAAAACCATGAAGCATCCCTCTCTATCTATCTATCTATCTATCTATCTATCTATCTATCTATCTAAGAAACCCCATTCTGAACATTTCTGTCATTCTACAGCATGAACAAGAAAAGGAACCCAGAAGGGAAAGTTTAGGGAAGGGCAGGCTTAACTTTCAGAACCTACAGCCAGTGGAGCAGGGAGAGGCTTCTGTCCCTTCAATCCCCATTCATCTAAACAGGGCAGTTAAACATCAGTTTCCAAGGAACACTTACCATAATATCTCCCTTCAGCAGTTGTGCTGGTTCCACTGCAATGCAGACTCTGCTTTGGTTCTCTGGCCCAACACTACTTAAAAGAAGCAGCAAGGGAACAAAGAGAGAGAATCCTAAGAGCAGCTGTATTTCAAAATATCTACAGAAGGGATCATTTTAACCCCCCAGAAGTTCAACTGGCTTATAAATGACAGACATCTTGTAATTAAGTTTGCTGTACAGCCCTGCCTGTTTCACCTCATAATACAGGTGGAAACATCGTATGTTTAAATGCTCCACCACTGTAAACAACAACAAAAATGGAAAGCCAGGACAAAAACCTCTCTGCATGCTAAAAACTAGCTCTTTCCGAGGACAAATATTTATAGCCTACTCCACTCTCTGATGTCAATTTTCAGCAGAGTGTGTTTGGGCATGGGAGAACATTCAAACACACTACATATGCCTTGAAATGGGGCAGTGTGGGGGGAGGGGCTGCCCCATGTAACTCTTATGAATGTCTAGCATAGCCAACAAACGCATCAGGGATTGGAGCGCTGGTCATTACTTACTATACTCCTGATGTATAGACAGGCTGCATGGCCTGGTACAACTTCAGAAAGGGTCGACAAACTGGAAGAAAGGATGGATATTTTAAAAAACTGATGCTTGCAAAGAAATATTGTGAATGGTACTGTACGCACATCAAAGGCATTCTTAAAAGAGACAGTTTGGTGATGGCTTAGATGAATATAGTGGAAGGCAGATGGGATTTTTTTCTTTTCTGTTAAGTTGATGGTGGCAGTTGTTGTGCCATTCTTCATTCTTGGCACTGTTCCCATTTTTCTCCCATTGTCTGCAGAATAGCTGGGAAGATGCCCTGGGTGAATCAGAAGTTGACTCAGTTCTCCACCAGATGGGTCTGCTGTCCCAGAAGGGAGATACTGAGCTTCTGGATACTTAGAGGAGAAAGGATGCCATGTTAAGAAAGTATCGATTTCTATACAACCAGACAGGAGGAGGACAGCAATATTGATGACAGAATTATATTTAACATCATTAAGTCTCACTGTGGCCTCACAACTGCTACTGCAACAACCTCTAATCCTCTGTGGGACTTGGCTAAAATGCACAAGGACAAGAGTTTTTTTTATTTATTTATTTATTTTTATTTATTAAAACATTTTTATGCCGCCCCATTCGCCAAAGCCTCGGGGCGGCTTACAACAATTGTTGTTAGCATCCTTACTGCAAGTAAGCCTGGGTGGTGGCAGCAGGAAGAGTATTTGTGCAGTGCTGGAACCTATCTTTGTGCACACTCTTAACAGAAGGTTTTCCTGTATGAGCTTGCAGGATATGAAACCACCCTGAAGAAAACTTACTAGTCTCTCTAGAATGCCAGTGGAAACTTGGAGACTCCCACTCAGCCATCAAGAGAAAAGGGAAGTGCTGAGAACTGAATGACCATGGGGGTTGGTGATGGAGGTGGGAGCCGCAACAGAGGCAGGGCAAGCTTTGGCCTCTTGCTCTCAGGTAGCAATGAGGTTGCGATCACCACAAGTGAAGGAGAGGTATGGCCCATTGGCAAAGTTCATATTAGCATGAAATGAGCATATGTAAAAAGGCAAGAATAAAATGAAACCATGGAGAATGCAAAACTCACCTCCACCAGCATCAAAGCTTGGGATTCCATGTAGGATAACATAATGCAGGAAGACAGGTGTTGTGTTCATTTTTATAGATCCTGAGAGAAGTCCACTCAGAAACTGCACATACCTAAACGGGCAAAGCAGCTGCAATAAGTACATGAATGTGTACACAAGGCGTGGTGGAAGTTCCTCCTATAGTTTACTCTTGCCAGTTTCACACTATTTTATGCATATAATCACTATAAAACCATCCACAAATCTGTCATCATTGGTTAGAGGCACTGATCATAACCGTGATAAGAATGTGCTTCAGCTACCTGTTTTGAAAGAAACTAAGCGGATTCTTAAATAGTTGTGCTAGGGGCCCCTGTACACATAGACCCAGCAGAATGGATGCCACATTGTACAGGCTCTATGGAAGTATAATGCAGTGCCATCATAAGGCCAATTCTAATGGCCTTTCCCATACAGAATCACAGAATAGTAGAGTTGGAAGGAGTCATGAAGGCTATCAAGCCCAACTCCTTGCTGTTGCAGGACTCCATGTTACACCATTCCACTCAGATGGCTGTCTAGTTTCTTTTTGAATGTCTCTAATGTGGGAGAACACACCACCTCTCTAGGCAGCTGGTTCCACTGTTGTATTGCTCTGACAGTGAGGAAGTTTTTCCTGATGTCCAGCATGAATCTGGGTTGCCGCAACTTGAACTGATTATTCCATGTCCTATACTCTGGCATCAGCAGGAAGAGATCTTGACCTTCCTCTTTGTGACAGCCTTTGAGGTACTTATAAAGGGATATTACATCCCCCCTCAGTCTTCTTTTCTCAAGGCTGAACATGCCCAGTTCTTTGAGTCTCTCTTCACAGGGCAGTGTTTCCAAACCCTGGATCATTTTTGTTGCACTCCACAAAATCATTGCTGTGCCAGGCCAGAGGTGCTGAATGGTTCAGAAAGTCTTGGTCATGCCTATGTACCTTATTATGCGCGTACAAGGCCCTGAACTATGGGATTGCAGCCTGAGTTGTTGTGAACACATGAGAAGGAGGCTTCTAGGTAAATTCTATAGCAACTTCAAGGTCTGCACTACAAGCCATTTCAGATGGCTTTATGTACTTTGTCCTTAACAGCAACCACATTAATTCTACACTTCTGTACCACCAACAAAGCAAAGCAAATGGTCAGTGACATACATCAACTAATAAGAGGAGCTAATAACAGGAATTAATAAAATCACATTGCAATCATCAGTTTTTCAGCACATATGCTGGCTTTGCTAGTTATAAGCCAGCAAGTCACACAAAGCAATCTGTCACACAAAAGGAATAGACAACCCCAAACCAAGGAAAAGGAATCCTGTGTTTGATATTAAAAACAATTTCCAACCATCACTGCTTAGCAGTGATTCCTCAACCAATACTGGGGATATATTGCTTAGAAGACATGAAGCTGTACAGTGGTACCTTGGCTCACAAACTTAATCCATTCCATGACTCTGGTTGTGACCCAAATTGGTCGCGAGCCAAGTCAAATTTCCCATAAGGTTCAATGTGAATAAGGTTAATCTGTTCTGTAACCATTTTTTTTAAATCACAAACATTTGAAACAAAGTGACAAAGAACAACAAAGATTGTGGCCATCTTCCCCCACCCCCCAGCATGACTGTGGCCATCTACCCCCCGAGCAAACCCATGATCATGCCCGTTTTCCCTGCACGAGCATGACCGTGATCGCAGCCATCTGCCCACCTCCCCAAGCACAATCGCAGCCGTCTCCCCACACCCCGAGCATGACCACAATTGCGCAGGGAAGATGGGTGCAATTGCAATCGTTACCCGATGTGGAGTTCATGACCTGAGGCAATTTTTTTAAAAAAACTTCTGTTTGCGACCTGATTTGATCATGAACTGAGGCATTTGTGACCCGAGGTACCACTGTATATTTAGCTGCCTGCTATCTCAGACACAAAATGAGAGAGAATTACATTCAGTGCTAATTTCATACTTTTCACCACTCTGTGAATCAAAGCTCAGCCATCCTTTGAAATGCTCACTTCTCCAAATTTTGCAATGAAATCCTTCGTACACACAAATTGTGCATATTAGGGAAAATAACATTACAAATAATTATATTTGGAAAATCTCTTGTAAAAAAACTTGGAAGTGTACAGAAAGTGATTATGAGTAGCGCACAAAAATGAATTATCTAACTTTAAAAAAAAAATCCAAGATTTTGGATGAACCAAATGACTTCGAGAACTTGGATAACTATAATTGAAAAAAATGAAGAGAAAAAACAAAATTTAGAAGTTTGTCCACCCTGCTTAAATGTAAAATGTGCATCTCTTGAGTCAGAGACCTATTTTTATCTTTCCCTTCTTTGTAAAGTACAGTGTAAATTGAATTTACTGTAGAATTACCTGTAGCCTCAAGGAAAAGAGCCTGGTCATCCTGAAGTCTCCCTCCACCCATCTCAACTATGCTGTACATCTGCCTTTCCATCTAAGTCTGCCCAGTATATCCTTCCTCCACGTGGCTCAGACTGGCTTTAAAAAAATCAGAACCATCCCACATAAGTTAAACTCGAATAGATGATGATCAGTCCAGCAAACAGGAGTGCTATGCTTATTATCATCAACTATTAACAGCATATTTAAAATGGCAGCCAGAACAAAACTGATTTTAAAAGATGGCAGTTTTTAACTGGCAATCCTAATGGGCTGCCTGGCAAATGGGTGCCTCATCTAATTTATGTTAAGGAAGTGGAGGATGAGGAGATCCCATTTTCTAGACAGATGCTATTTTTAGAATCCTGTATAGCTGAATTAACCATTAATCCTGTGCAGGCATTAGAAGCATCATGTAAGAGAGTCTGGCAATCCTCTTTTATGTTGGACAGACTTTAGTTTTTGAGTGGAAATGCCAGCCAAAGTAATCACCAAGCTTCATCACAGCACTGTCCCTGCCATGTGACATTTTCAGGCCTTTTGGAGATACATGTATCTCTGTCAAGCAGAGAAGGACACTGGACAAGACACTCTGCACTTTGTCGCTGGTAAGGGGAAATGAAGCTGGGTGAAGGGGACTGCTTTTCTCAAGAGTGACAAATGCCCCTTTGGGTGAAGGGCTGTTTCCTGCTCTTCTGAAGGATGCAGTAGTATGACTGTCCTGAAGAAAGACCCAACAGTATTTTGCAACTCCTACTCAGGTGCAATTAGCCCTTTCTTAAAGAAGGTACTTGAGAATGCCATGACAAAGAAACCACATCCTCACTTGGCGAATACGTATTATCTAGTCCCATTCCAATCTGGGTTTCAGCAAGGTTACAAGACTAAACCAGCCTTGGTCACACAGATGGATGTCCTTTATCAGGAGAGGGATGGGGAAATTCTACTTGAATTCTTACTGGCTTTTGATACCATCAACCATGGCGGAACGACTGCTGTGAGTTGTGGCACTGGGAGCACTGTGTTACACTGTTTCCAATCTTGCACACCAGGATGATTTCAGAGAGTCACACTGGGTGATTATTCCTTTCCCCTTTGGCAACTGAGGTGCGCTGTTCCACAAAATACCATCTTACTATCTTGACCCCAGTGTTATTTGACATCTATACGAAGCTGATGGGAGCAGTCACTGGGGGATTTGGAGCCATCAATATGCTGATCGCACACCACTCTGTCTCCCTGTGACAATAAAGGAGGTGAGGCTGTGCCAGTCCTGCATCAATGCCTAAATTCTGATGACCTGGATGGGAGCGAATACACTGAAGCTGAATCCTGGTAAGCTGGAAGTCCTGGGACTGAGTGGTTTATTTATTTATTTGGTTGGTTATTTTCTGATTTATATCCTGCCTTTTTCCTAGAAAGGGCTCAAGGCAGCTTACATCATTCTCCTCCTCCATCTTATCCCCACAACAACAGCCCTGTGAGGTACGTTGAGCTGAGAGTCTGTGACTGGCCCAAAGTCACCCAGTTGGCTCCATGGCTGAGTGGGGACTAGAACCCAGATCGTCTGAGTCCCACTCCCATGCTCTTAACTACTACACCACACTACACCAGACATGGTTTGCAAGTCTGCCAGATATTATTAAATTATTAAAAGCTTTTGTATGCCGTCCTATTATACAAGATCTCAGGATGGCTTACAATATTTAAAAAGACAATTAAAACAACAATTTCAATCAATAATAAAACAGAACAAAACAATAAATCACAAAACAAACAGAGCGACTAAATTTAAAAACTATTAAATTTTAAAATGCTGTTTAAATTAAAAGGTTTTGGCCTGGCGCCAAAAAGAGCATAAACTTGGCGCCAGGCGTACCTCTCTGGGAAGTACATTCCAGAGTATGGGTGCCACAGCAGAGAAGGCCCTACTCCGAGCTGATGACCTTTTTACCTTTCTTAGAGAGGGTTCCCAGAGTAGGGCTTCTCCCACAGATCTTAAGGGGAGTGAGGGCATTTAAGGAAGGAGATGTTCCTTCAGATAACCTGGTCCCAAGCCGTTTAGGGCTTTATAGGTCAAAACCAGCACCTTGAATTGTGCCCGGACTTCAACTGGAACCTAGTGGAGCTGGTAGAGGACTGGCATTATGAGAGAGTAATGGCCGGTCCCTGTCAGCAGCCTGGCAGCTCTATTCTGTACCAGCTGCAGTATCCAGACCATTTTCAAGGGCAGCCCCACGAAGAGCGCATTGCAGTAATCCAAGCAGGAAGTTACCAGAGCATGTATCACTGTTGCTAGAGAGTGCTCATCCAGGTAAGGACGCAGCTGATGGATCAGCTGAAGTTGTAGGAAAGCACTCCTTGCCACCGCCACCACCTGGAACTCCAGTGACAGCTCTGGGTCAAGGAGTACTTCCAAGCTGTGGACCCTGTCCTTTAGAGGGAGTGCTACTCCATCCAGAATGGAGACCTGCACCGCCCAACAACAGGACTTCTGTCTTACCTGGATTGAGGCTCATTGCTTGCTCTGGATGGGGTTGCACGCCCTTTGAAAGACCAGGTCATCAGATGGCTTCTCCTGGTGGTTTCATGTGGACCTATGGCCTTCATGAAGTCCATTTAGAGGACAGCCTGCAGTGGGGTGTCCCCCGCCTCCATTCCTCCGAAGGTGAGGCAGGCACTAACACTGGGTTGTTTTCAGTGCCTCCTGAAAACATTTCTATTCCAAGAAGCCTTCCTTAATTTGTACAGTCATGTTTCTATTGGCATTTTTTGTTTTAATTTTCTTTTTATGCTATTGTTCACCACTCTGGAATTTGTTTAGATGTGAAGAAGGGTATAAATGCTGTAAATAAATATGACACCTCCATGCTGCATCTCCTCAACCCCTTAATATTTATATACAGGACTTTTTTTGTCATAGAACACACCAGAACAGTGTTCCGGCACCTTTTTTTGATGGATTTTTCCAACAGATTTTTCCAAGTGATTTTGAATTGCCCTGTCGGGTGGAGCAGGTTGGCAGCAAAAATCGTTAAAATAGTGCATGCGGGCTGCTTGTGTGTCCGTGCTGATTGTGAGGGCACTGCTTGGTTTGGGATTGGTCGTGTGGTCGCACGCTGAGTGCTTACTGCCGGCAGCAACCATTATGTTTATGTGTTTGTAGAGTGACTGGCTACGTGCAAAAGGTAAATAAGTTATTTATTTCAAAAAAAAAAAAAGGTGGTGAATTGAAAATCTTATTTAGTGTAAAAGTGTGACCCCAAGATGTGAGTTCCAGCACCTTTTTTTTTTGTTTTTTTTTTACAAAAAAAGCACTATTTATATAGCAGCATAGACACACAGGGTCGGATCCCAACCAACTACTTGCATTTAGTCTCCACTAAAACAATGGGAATTAAATTAACTAACTTCTCTCACTGATTTCAGAGGGACTTTGGCTTTATAGGAACATAGGAAGTTAGCTCATGAAAGTCAAACCCTTGGTACATCTGACCCGATGTTGGTGACACTTCCTAGCAGCAGTGGCTCCAGGGCTGCAGGCAGGGTTCTTCCCCAACTCTACCTGGAGATGCCAGGAATCAAACTTTGAGCTCATCAGCATGCAAAACAGGTGTTCTACCACAGTGCTATAACTCCTCCCCTCAACTAACTAAATCCGGATCCAACCTGCAAACCTTGGTGCAGACAGGCATCTTTCACACAATTGGAACCTCTCCATTTAATGGCACAGATATCTATCCAAACAATAAACAGGGAAGGTCCAACCTGATCCTTCTTTGTTCATACATTTTGAATAAGCTCGGTAGTGCCAGACTGATCATTCAAGTACCGACAGGCCCAAGGGCAATACGCTGAAAACTGCATCTGCAGTTTTTATCTGCTTATAAAACTGAACTTTCCCTCCAGCTGTTAAAATCACTGACTTGAAAGGTTGTATATGTTTTATACATTGTACATGCAGTTTGACACATGCTATCATATCCTGTCTCCATAATTTCTACAGCAGCACCACTTTCAAATGCCAAGGGCATCTATTTCTCATTGGTTCTTGTTTGCAGAAGGGAAAGGACGTTAGAAAATTAGAACGGGTTATACTGCACAAACCACATTGAAAGGGCCATTAAAATGTCTTATGCCCCTTGGTCCCACAGTACTGCTGATCTGTGCCCTTCGAGGTGATGTATTCAAGCACACAGATTGTTTAATAATGCTACAGTTATTTGTAGACATGGAGCTGAATGGGAAAAAAGCTCTCTAGGCTAAATATTTATTAAAGTATAAAGCCTCAGGGAAATGTGTTTTTATTTTTCCATGTCAACAGCAGCTGTGCAGGTCTCCAGAGAAACACGGCAGCTCACTGGGAAAGCTTTTATCTAGTGAGAGACAAACAGATGTATTGCTTGACTAGACTTTCAACACAACATTGTTTTCTCAATTGCTAGCAAGGCCCCTGCTCTTCAAACAAGTTCTAAAATTGTTGAATGCTTTCTGATAAAGGGGATGAGTAACTAGGGTTACCCAGTCAAACCATCAGACTAATTTAATTTCTTTTTTCTCACTTTTCTCATCAGGCAATTTCCCTATAAAATTGCAAGGTACAAGCCAGCTTCTTATGTGAGAGCCAGTGTGGTATGGTGGTTAAGAGCATGGGACTGGGACTCAGACGATCTGGGTTCTAGTTCCTGCTCAACCATGGAGGCAACTGGGTGACTTTGGGCCAGTCACAGACTCTCAGCCCAACCTACCTCACAGGGTTGTTGTTGTGGGGATAAGATGGAGGAGGAGATGTAAGCTGCCTTGAGCTCTTCATAGGGAAAAGGCAAGATATAAATCAAAAAATAAATAAAAAGAAAGAAAGAAAGATAAATAGAAATGTGTAACATGTAATAACTTCTATTATCTACAAAGACACCTTGCTAGAAAAAATACTGGCTTGTAGATGGATGCATTCACAGCTTCTATCCGAATGAAGAATTTATTTTTTTCCAATGTTTGCATTTAGAACATTAAAATCTCCTGATAATTATGGTATCCTCTATTTCAGTTAAGTTTGCATGCATTTTAATGAGCACCTCCTTGACTTTTTGTTTACTATTACAGAACTGCTTCAGAGGGACAGTTTCTACTGCTGTAACCAACCTCTGCCTGAGTTGTACCACTTCAAATAGTAGGTACAGGCTTGCATGACCAAATGCTCATCTATAAAAAAGTCCCTCAATGACATTTTCCCCCTATATGGAGGGATTTTATAATGGGTATGGTGAAGCATTCAGCCAAATAAGCTTCCACCTGCCGTCTGAAGAGGTACACATCCAAGTTTGTCCCATGAGTCAGAGCTAGACCACAGATAAGCTCAAAAGGCATAAACCATCTCTTGAAAATTCTCTGAATATTATAAATCAAGATTCACAATCTACTCAGAAAGCTTTAACTATTGCGCAGTACAGCAATGAAAAGAGAGACAGGATGGACAGATGCAAGGAAGGATGGATGCATCGATGGACGATTTAATAACCAAATGCCTAAGACAAGTTCTTTTGAGGGGAGAATGTATAGCTACTTTACATATAGAGTATCACACTCACAACTTGAGCTGTTACAGCAGGGAATGGTGATTTACTTTATTAGGACAAAGCTGACATGATCATGATACCAACCAACCAAACATTTGGATAACCAATACAATCAAGCCCTCAGTTTGCAGTATTTCTGGTTCACAATACAGCTGCTTGGCCATGTGTAAACCCAGCAGAAGACACACACATCCAGGAAAGGAAGGATGGTGCAAGAAGTGTTGAAAGAAGAGGGAAACTCAGGAGACTGTCCTCCTCTGCGGAGGGAGGAAAGCAGCAGCATAAAAGACAAATTAAAATACCTTTTCTGGGATGGTTGCATTAAGGCAGAAACCTTATCATCAAAGAATTTCTTCATGGCAAATCTGTCTAGGGCTTGATCTGCACTGTTGTGAAAGAAAGAGAGAAAATATAAGTCTTTTTGGGTAACCGCCTTGGAACTGCAGAATGTTATACTGTGAATCATGTTAAACAACTGAAGAATGTTATGCGTTATTTGGCAAATGAACTCATTTCCAGATCTGACATTTGAATGTGGAGTCTTCTGTTTTTTAAGATGGTTGTTTTGGGAGAAGTGTTTGCTAGAAAGGTGATTGCTAAAATATATTAAAATGCCAGCACTTCTTTCCTCATCCTATCAGAATATGCCAAGCCCTTGTAACGAGGTATAGTGGTTGAATGCTCGAGGTTATGCAATATTAGCCCTTGAAAGAACAGTTAACTTCGGGAGCGTTTAAGAATTCTTGCTGTGAAATTTGTTTGAAATTAATTATGCTCATCCAGCAGAAGACAGGTTCTTTTACTCTAGGATATTAAACAGCATTAAATCTGTTGTAAATACTTTCTGTTTCATGCAGAATTGAGCTGTGAGCGTTGCATGAGGAGCACTTCCTTTCCTGCTTTTCCACTATTTAACCTCTAGATGGTACTGTGGTACAGCAGAATAGGAAAAATACACAAAAAGTTCTCTTTCACTTTTACAATCAACTGCCCACATTTACCCTGTTCTAAAAAAATTGCCAAAAGTGCTTAAACACTGGGTCATTTAGGGTCATTATGTCATCAAAAGAACCTTTAAACAACCATGTGTAGGGAATGGCAAGCACATGACAAAGACCTCATGCAGCCTTTACATTTATAACTGACACCCTTTAGATATTAATGGAATTTGAGTATAAGAACACTCATCTCTTTCCATTGAATTGTACCATCCATCTGACATCTGTTCTAAAACTCACAGTAAGAAAATAAATATGTAAATGTAGTCCAGTATCTAATATAGGCTTGCCATATTCTTCCTTCTATAATCTTACAATTTTAGTAGCTATATAGGAAGGGAAACTTAGCATTTGCACCCCTTTCCCTGCAATGCTGCTGCATTCAATAAGGTAAGCTGCATCTGCTGAACTTCTACCATTCCATATAAATTCCAAAGTTAAAAGAGCATGCGTTGACTGCTTCTGAGTTTCAGAAAATTAGCAGCGTTGACTGCTAATTTTCTGAAAGGAAAATTGTAGACCCAGTGAATCATCTGGGAATACTCCATGCTGGAGCACCAGTAACACTAAGCAAGCACAGAAAAAAAGGGTTTTCTTGGATGGGAAACCAGTGAACCTTGCTCCCTCCCCAGCTACCCTGAAAAGACAGAAGAAAAGGAAAATGATTGGAAGCACTATATTATCTGAGCTGAGTCAGATGTTATCGAAATAAGGATGCACAAAGGACCTGGCTATCTAGTTTTCATATTCTGACATAGCGACTTTTGTATTCCATCCATCTTCCAAATGATAAATTAGCGCATGCCTTTCTCCATACTGGAGATGAGCATGTCATTATGCAGAAGTGTTGAAAAAAGACAGATAAGCTGGCTAGTATCCCAAGCCACTCTATGCCATTTCAGGGCTAACATTCTAGAAAACATCTATTAGAGAAATATTGATTCTCAGAATACTGAGATTGTTAATTTGCCTTCCAGCATTCCATAGCACAAGTTCAGCCAAAACCAAAGACACTATTATGTCTTATTTTTTAAGTAGGTGTTTGTTTTCTTTTTGGCTTATTACATAATAAATAAGCATACCATCTTGATCAAGTTGGAATCAGAACCACTTAGTGGTTTCCATACTCATTAGTGGAAAGGGAATGAACTTCTTTTGTGATTTAATGGCATGTTGAAGAATATTGGGTCCCTTCCATAGATAACTTCTGTGGTATTGCATATTGATCTTTCTCTTTTTCAGCAAGTAGCAGCTTAAGTAGTTCTCCCTGTACCTGCCACTTATCAAAGGGCAGTTGTTGTTCTTCTTCCACCCCAACAATTTAAGTATGAGGCTTACATTACCGTTAGAAATCACAAACTAGCCTCTGACTCTGACACATGGACTCTAAGCAGTGAGAGCAATAAATAGGTTTGTCTGTAGTATCACAAGCCTGGATCAGGGCAAAAATATTTTCATGGATCTTTATAGAGAGACTATTGTCTACCATGATAGACAGGAGAGGAGCAAAAATTTTACAGGGCAAATGATGCTCTGCATCCTTTCCAGAGACTGGAAATTCCATTGTTTGCCCAATTATCCTGCATCCCAGATTGCAAGTCACTAACTATCTTCTACCATAGAATCACAGACTCTCTCTCTCTCTCTCTCCCCCTCTCTCTCTCTCTCTCTCCTCAGTTGAGGACTGCCCAGGAAGTAAAAAAAAAACAATAGTTAACACACCTGTCTTCACCATCCTTTACACATATGCAAGTAGTATAAATGATTCCTCTTACCTTGCAGATACATTTGTGAAGTGCATATATGATGATATCACTACTCCTATTCTTCCTTTGCCACCCTGTAAACAGAAAAAATGCATTTTATTTACTTTTTGCTCTGACAGGGTAACAAAGCCCTAACATACACTATTTCCCTCCCCTTGAATAATGGCACACAATGCTTTCATTATACATGCATTTTAATATCAAAATAAAGCTATAAATTCTAACAAAGAATTTGTCTTCCTTTTTCCTTTAGCTGTTCTTAGATAAGCCTAGGCATCTTTGCAATTTCTGGCATAGTGTGCTATAAAATTATATATTCTGGAAAACACATGTATTCAAGCAGGTATTATTAGAAATTTTCTTCTGACATTTACAATTTATAGCAACGACTGCATTTAATTAGCATTTTCACAATGTTCCAAAATCTTATTAAAATGTATGACATGCAGTCAGTACTGATAGGTAATTCCCACCAGTCATAATTTGTTTCAGAATTATTCTGCAAACTTATTTAGCAAGCTTGTGGCTGGAGGTTTACAATAGCTCATAAATGCTCGCATATTTGTGAAGAAAGAAAATGGTAAAGCGCTACTGCTTAGCTATCACCAAAACACACACACCCCACTAAAGAGTATATTTGACTCCTCTTCAGTATTTAGGCTTGAAAAGTCATCTAAAAAAGAAGTGAGGTAAGCTGTAGAGACGCTGCAAGCAGGCTCAGGAACTAATTCAGCTAGGTGTGAATGTGTTGCTTGAAGGAAGCGCAGGATGCAGGAAGCCACCTTAAACTGAGTCACAGGAACGGTTCAGCCAGTCCAGGCCCTTCTGCACACAAAGCAAGTACTCTGCCACTGAGCTATGTGTAGCCCCTCCAGCACTCTAAACTCATCCTGGGAGTCTCTCTCTGAACTTATTGCCACTGTTATCACATTTAGTATCCTTACCTACCTAACAACTTTTCACTTCCCAAATACAAAAGTGGGAGTTTTTGCCTGGTTTACAATCTTAGTCAGACTTGCAAACTCACCAAACATTCAAGGTCAGGAACCCCTCTGCTTTGTTGCTGTACACTTTCTGCAGCTACTTTTTTCACGGCATTTCCGTCTACTGCCTGCCACATCACATCAGATTTAATCCTAAACTCGATGCAGGTGCTCACCCAATGCAGTGCAATCATGCAGGTGTTTTGGGTCCTGTGGCACCACCATTGAGAACAGAAAATGAATCACACAGAGACTTGCTGGGGATTCCTCTGAGTGAACATGTCTTGCTGACCATTGGCTCCATCCTTGGCTGATTTGTCTAATGAGCAGATCCCAAGTTTTAAGGGATCTTGTGCTAAGAAGTGGGTTGTTTTGGGGGCTCTCTCCACAAATCTTAGCACAATACTAAACTCCCCATAGCAGTTCCAATGAGGGAGCCAGTTTTACCGTTTTCCTCAGTTCCTAGGAACTGGGAAAAGCATAAAAATATGTCCCCTCTTTTTCTGTAAAGGAAACCAAGTTTAGCAGTTCCTGTCATAACTCAGAGTCCCTTAAAAATGGTGGGTTTGGGCTGAAAGTGGGTGGATTTGTAGTGGGACAAAGATCTGAGTATGATCCAGCAGAAAACCGTTTTTTTGAAGATTCCCAAAGTGTGTACGTTCTTAAAAGTGTGACAATCCCTTAAAATCAATTAAGTGACTTAAGAGCAATAGTGAACCAAGAGTGGTTTGCCATTTCAACAGGGAGAAGACTTGTTCCCACAGTGACCCCGGGACACTGCCTGGAGGGACAAGGGATTTGAAGTACCCATGATGAACCTGACTGTGTGTTGGGCTTGTCATGGGGACCTTGCAGAAGAATCAACCCACCATGGCAATCACCATGATGGTTTAGTAATGATGTGAAAAGCTGCCTAACACATAAGACCCATGGTCACAATGGACACAGGACGGTCTCTCATTGTAGAATAACAACTGATAAAACAACTGCAGATATAGCTCACTTACTCGGCAATGGATCACCACCACATGCTGGGAGTCATTATTCAACCAGGTCTCCATAGCCTTACAAATGGTGCACATCTTATTAAGTGGTGGGGCATGAAGGTCAGGCCAGCCCACATCCATAATCTAGAATAAAATTATTTTAAAATCACATCAAACATAGGCTTATAAAGACAGGCTCTGTACTGTTCATGGAGGCTGAGCTCCAAATGTCCATATGTACATTAGATCTTCTCAGGCACTGGCCCAAAACCCATGCTACGTGCAAGGGGTTGATGCCAGAAAGGAACTTTGGCAAACTGGTCCTCAGCTTGTACACAGGCCTTTTGGACCTTGGTCATACATAGCAACAGAAAACAACTTGTCTTCCCCTGATGTTAAACACCTGGGCTACAAAGAGCACGAAGCATGTTTTCCTTACTTTACCTTGTTTTCTTTAAATGAAACATTACACTTATATTTTCTTTCTAAAAAAATATCTTAAGTAAATTACTTGAGAAAGCATGTAAAATCTCCATGAAACTCAGTTCCTTTGTTCCTGTTTTTCACCGCTGATGTTAGTACATGCCAAGGAAGGAGTGGCCTGGGTGAGGTTTGTGATGAAGGATATATGTCCACAATCCGTACAACTCCTAACTGCTATTCAAGCCCCCACACTTTTCATCACAGACATGGAAAACGTTACAGATTAGAGCACATCCAGGCTGGGGGATCCAGGAACAATTCATAGTTAGTTTCAGAGTCATTGTTAAAATGCCATTTTAAAGCTGCTAAGAATTCTACATTCATGGCATTGGGTCTTAAATAGAAATGTTAAAAATATAGGACATGATGAATGTTGTCCCTTCCCATGAGCAGAGGGGATCCTCAGGTACATTCTACTCAGGTATGACCCTCACCCCATCAGCAGCCCATTGCTACTACTGAGGCTGAGACACATTAGCAGAGCTGCACATGAAGCACATCATGCTACAAGAAAAGCCCGAGAAAATTGTGTGTACAGCAGAGAACAGCAGCATAACTACCGAGGGACTGGTGGGAAGGGCTTCTATGGAACACTTGTCCCAGGGATAATGGTAAATTTTGGACTGCAGGCACTCATCATAATAATCCCAATAGCCACGGCCACAAGGGGAGCCCCAAAAAAGTAGGCAGCTCTGCTGATCCAGCCGCTAAGAGCTGAAGATCTTCTCTAAAGCAAATGGGTCTTAATTATTCATTCAGGACCAAGTCAGTGCAAAATAGTCTGGATTACAAAAGGGATTGTTGTTGTTGTTAGTCGCAAAGTCGTGTCCGGCCCAACGCGACCCCATGGACAACATTCCTACAAGTTTTCCTGTCTTTCACCATCTCCCGGAGTCCACTTAAGCTCACACCAACTGCTTCAGTGACTCCATCTAGTCACCTCATCCTCTGCCATCCCCTTCTTCTTTTGCCATCTATTGTTCCCAGCATTAGACTCTTCTCCAGGGAGTCCTTCCTTCTCATGAGGTGGCCAAAGTATTTGAGTTTCATCTTCAGTATCTGGCCTTCTAAAGAGCAGAAAGGGTTGATCTCCTCTAGGACTGACCAGTTTGATCGCCTCACGGTCCAAGGGATTCGCAGGAGTCTCCTCCAGCACCACAATTCAAAGGCCTCAATCCTTTGGCGCTCTGCCTTCCTCATGGTCCAGCTTTCACAGCCATACATTGCAACTGGGAAAACCATGGCCTTGACTATACACACGTTTGTTGGCAGGGTGATGTTTCTGCTTTTTAGTATGCTGTCTAGATTTGCCATAGCTTTCCTCCCAAGGAACAAGCGTCTTTTAATTTCTTGGCTGCAGTCACCGCCTGCGGTGATCTTGGAACCAAGGAAAATAAAATCTGTCACTACCTCCATTTCTTCCCCATCTATTTGCCAGGAAGTGAGAGGACCGGATGCCATGATCTTACTTTTCTTAATGTTGAGTTTCAAGCCAACTTTTGCGCTCTCCTCCTTCACCCGCATCAAGAAGCTCTTTAGTTCCTCTTCACTTTCTGCCATGAGAGTTGGTATCATCTGCATATCTGAGGTTGTTGATATTTCTCCCAGCAATCTTAATTCCAACTGGAGATTCATCTAGCCCCACCTTTCTCATCATGTGCTCCGCATATAAGTTAAATAGGCAGGGCGACAGTATACAGCCTTGCTGAACTCCTTTCTCAATTTCGAACCAATCAGTGGTTCCGTGTCCAGTTCTCACTGTTGCTTCTTGACCCGCATATAGGTTTCTCAAGAGACAAATAAGATGGTCTGGTACTCCCATCTCTTTAAGAACTTGCCACAATTTGTTGTGATCCGCACAATCAAAGGCTTTAGCACAGTCAATGAGGGATAGTCAAAAGGGATAGCTCACAATAATATGGGGTGGCCAAACTGAGGCGCAGAAGCAGCATGTGGCTCTTTTGAGTTTATTGTGTGGCTTGCAGCTGGGCTTCCACCTGCCATTCATACCCACAACCACTGCCTAAGAATGCCCATTTGCCACTCACCACCCATTGGTGCCCACTTGCAGTTCTCAAACATCTGTCATTTACCACATATGGTTCTTCCGTTGAGCAAGTCTGGCTACCCCTGCAATAATAGATTGCAGCTGAAAAATTCACCTTCCCCAGCTACTGTGCAGGTTGCAATCAAGCTCAGAGCCCTAGGGGGATACTTTTCACGTGTGCAAATCTTCATACAAAAGAGCAAGTGTGCATTTTTCTTCACTGATTTAAAAGTTAGGGAAATATTGTATGTCAGTAAATCTAAGTCTACTTAAATTTATTCCTATACTGTTGCTTTTTCATCTCCTTTTTCTGCTGAAATGTCAGATATTAAGGTGATTTTATGGAGGAATATCAGAATTCATAATCTGACCTGCAAAACTGAAATAAATAAGGGGGGAACTGAACAAGCAATGAACATGTGAACCAATCTGCAAGACAATACCAGTGGCTTGTAAAACTCAAGAATCCTAAACATAACAGAAAGCATTGAAATGTTCCATCCAACTTAGTGTGCCATGAAAATAATTGTTGCATGGATTTGTACACTGAATTTAAGCCTCAAGAATTAAGAAAAGCATTCTCAACATATGTTTTTGAACTGATAATTAAACATAATAAAACATTACTGTGGGGATGCTTTATGATGAGGTTAAGAAATTGCCCTGCTTCATTCCTGGAATTTTACCAATGTTTCAGACATCTTTGTTTCCATTTGCTATCTCTGGTTTTTTTCCACCATTTCTTTTGTATTTTTTCTTATTGCCCCTCCCCCATGCACATTCACACACAAAAATCTGTCAAGGAAGAAAAGATGGAATCGCCGTTTAATGTGCTGAATCCAGATTTAGTTGCATAATGGACTCCCTGGACTCTTCCTCTGAATAACAGCCCCTGTGAACCCCAAAAAATGCTACAAAGAAGGTCAAGAGGCCCTGCTGAATAGAGTGAGCTGTGATGTGTGGGGGGGAGGGGGGAGAGAGAATCCCTGAAAATCACACGGAGGCAGCTGCCATGGACAGAATCCTTCTATCAACAGTTTGCAGATCCTGGATTTAATTTATACAACTCTTTGCGCCCCCAAATGCAAAAGAGTTTGAGCAGTTCTTCACTTATATGATTCTATATTCAAAACTGTAAATTGCATGGCAGGGGGAAAACAGAGTGCCCCAACTTTTCAATGACTAAAAAAGTTTCATAGCCCACCCAGAAATGGATGAACCAGGCCACAAAAAGATACCGGATGACTGTACATTGGCAAAGAACTCCTGAACAGAATTAACGGGTGGAGAAAGGGGGGAAGCCCTGCAATGGCATTAAAATGTATGATTCTGAAAGGCTCTCCATGTTTGTCCTTACATTTAAAAATTCCTATTTCTAAGCAGTGATGTTCTTTAACATGAAGCAAAGTCAATACATAGAAACAAAGAAACAGAGCGAGTCAGAAGGGGTCTCGTGGGCCATCTAGTCTGACCCCTGGCTCCAGCCGGCTCCGCTCATGACATGCCCACCATGTGCATGACTAGCCTATCCTTGAACACCCTCACCACCTCCCATGGAAGCCCATTCCACACCCTCGGGGTCCCAATTGTCAGGAAGTACTTCCTGCCATCTAAATTGAACCTGGGTTCCCTGAGCATCACTCCATTGGAGTGCGTCCTGCCCTCCTCTGCAGGGAAGAACAGGTCTCTACCCACCTCCATGTGACACCCCCTCACATACCTGTATGTCGCCAACAGATTCCCTCAAAGTCTCCTCTTCTCCAGGCTGAAAAGACCCAGTTCCCTCAGTCTCGCCTCAAATTGGCCACAGACCTTGTGGCCCTACACTGCACTGACTCTAACTTGGCTATATCCTTTCTGTAATGAGGGGCCCAAAACTGAACACAATACTCCAGTTGCGGGCGCAATACCTTTGGGTTAAGCTTGGTGAGGTCATATCTTTTCTCAGAGAGGTTCAACACCTGTTCCAGAAGAAAACCACAATTTAAGAATTCCAATGAACATTTTAAGCATGGCATTCAACATATTCCATAATGGTTGTACAAACATGGCAGGATCTAAGAAAAGGTCAAGGGCTTTAAGGTATACACATTTATCAGCGAAGTATGATAAGCCTAGTATTTGCACTTTCCTAAAGCTATTTCCTCCCGATTTTGACAAAGTGCAATCAAATTGTTCTACAACCACTGCTAGATTTCTCTTTACAAAAGAAATCTATGTATGATCCTGATAAAGGTAAGTACTTTTTAAGACACTGATTTCAGTGAGAGAAGTAAATACATCCTTAACTCTCTTTCCCATTCAAATCAATTGGACTTACATATACTTATCATTGGCAGAACTGTGCACAAATGCACCCAGTGGGTTTTCTTTGTTCTACCTCTTTTGTCTGCTTCAACTTATAGTATGCCGTTATGGTATGCATTTTCTAAAGGCCCAGAAAAAATCTAGAGAGTCTGCTTTTTTCATCTTCATCATAAAAAAATAAAAAATAATAATACAGCCTTAACATTTCAGTTATTCAGTGTTGCAAATTGACTGGGCTTTGGTGGGTGGGAGAAAGGGAATTCAGGCTCAGATAGAAATACAGATACCAATGAGGAAGGGCAAAGGCAGAAGGGAAAGGGCTGTGTACACTCTGTATATTCACTGGGAGCCAGGATAAGTCAGGAACTATCATGTGTAAATGCTGCCAACATGGTAGCACTTTGCACCCTATTAGATTAGAGGGTGAAAAGAGCACAACCTTGCAGGAAGCCAAAAGGCAATGTATCATGTATCAAGGCAATGTTCTTAAAGGATCAACTGCCTGCTGCGAATCGGAGAGCTGCAAGGGGCTATTCAGGCCATTGCATCCAATCCCCTGTTCAATACAGGATTCCAGTCTAAAGCAGCCCTGGCAGATGGCTGTTTAAACTTTGCACCAGTGATGGAGAGCCCACTACCTCTCCAGGCATTGGTAACAAGGAAAAAAACAAGTACACTACCCAACAGATTGCATTCCAGGCATATGTGCAGTCTCAGCTCCAACTAAATAGCTCTTCTGAACCCAGAGTTTTCAGCATGGACAAAAACTTATCTCATAGTCAGCTACCAATAAAGTGTTAGTTAAAAATTAAAATAGGACAGTGGGACAACTTGGTGGGCCAGGTAAGTTGTGCAAGGGCATTGCAAACACCACATTGCCTGTCCCTGATACAGACAATGCTGCAAGCTCCTGAGAACTGTCCCCTTCTCAGACTTCTGGGAGTCTAAAAAGCAAAAGCTCTAGTGCCTATGCCTACAGATCATTTTATACATTACATAGCAACTAGCTCTGCTTTGTCACTAAAAGATGCACTTGAAAGTGAGTCACAGCCAATTCCAGCACCCTAACCATTTATGAGATACCTGCTGGTAAGTATGTTTGTTGCAGTCATATATCACATTTACAGCCATAAATAACGTGTTGGTTTTAAAAATTTAACATGCTCAGAGGCCCATAGTTGAAATAGGTCGTACTTATTGGAATGAATGAGTGAATAAATGATTACTTATTTATTTAATCCAAACAAAGGAACAGAGATTCTGCCTTACCAAGTAGTTGTCACCGTGCTTGGATTTCAGCATTCGAGTTACATCCTGAAGATTGTGCAAGTAGGTTTCCTCTGAACAGCTGGCTGGGAATGATACAGCAATGATTCGCTCAGTGATGTAAGTCAGGTCCAGTTCATAACCTTCCTCCATAATGTGATCGAAGTCTGCACTTCTGTGGAGGATGGGATGTGTCAGTTTTGGAGGAAGGGAAAGGAGATAGAAAGGAATAGAAAGTTGATGAGTTGAAATTGCCATCTCTAACTAACAGCAAGGGGATCAGCCAATGTTTACTGTTCCAGATTCAGTCAGATTCCAGTCCACAAACCCATTTTGCTCATAAAGTTATTCAGTTCATTAATCAACTTGGCAGCCATCCAAAGGAAAGTTCACCACTCTGTTGATTTCTTTTTATGGCACAAAAAGCAGTTTGTAGTATTAAAAAACAGAGCTATTTTTCCCCTTCATGCCCTGTCAAAGTTGTACAACATACTAAAAACAGCACAGAAACACAGAGATTAATGCTTGCCTGAGAGTTTGTGCCAAGTTTCCCAGAAAGTGGATGAGGTAAGGAAATTAGCTTCTATAGTATGTATCAACAGAGGTAGTATTTAGAATAAAAGGTCATCATTATGGCTATAGCCCTTCAAATGAATGCGCTCAGACTTTCACTGACAATCACCAGACTTCTTCTCAACATGACCTTCAACCATCATAAATGTTCCTCTCTCTCAAAAGTCTTGTGCAGTAATAAAGGGCAACTTTTCCAAAAGTACTTACTCAGATCGTTTGTCGCAACAGAAAGATGAATTTTTCAAAAAGCTACTGGAAGTCTGAAAAAGAGACATGTGGAATGGGGGGAGGGGAGTGAGCAATGTTCCTGCCGTAACACAACTTATTTGTAGTTAGTGTAAAGCAATTTCAAAATATCTGGAACCATGTTGACATTCTGCCTTTCAGGTTTGACCACTAAACTAAAGAGACACTGTGAGTGTGGTCCATTTGTTCTTGTTTTAAAGTACTCTAGGAAACTAATTTTAGATTACTGAAATTATTCAGTGGAACAATGACTAAGGAGCACTTCAGCCATGACAATCCACAACTGCATGCAGATCATCATGGCTTATGACTGGATGGAGGGGTATGTGTATTGTTTTATGCTGAATTTGTAAAGTTTTAATTCATAGGAATTTGGGAGGCTACAGCTTACAAGCCCACAAGCATAATCAGTACTTTTTATCACTAACCACTTGACTGAACAATACTTGACTGGAGTAAAGAATGGCCTGGCTTGGCCTAAGATAATCCATTATATTTGCACAGCAAGTAAGGTGTGCTCCAGGCAACATGGTGTTGATTAGCCTCCTATTCCTTTCAACCAATCATAGGCAGCAATCAATAGCCACAGATTAGTAGCCAGATTTTCTTAAATGACACTGTTACTTTTCATTACAATAAACGGGTATTTGGTATGTTGTAGCTCTCTCACAGAGATGCAAGTGTGCACTGATTGCCGAATATCCGTCTCTTAAGGTCTGTGTTCAATGCACATGGGTGGGGAGTATGATTACACTAGCTTGCCAAATAATTGCCCCGGCTACACATTCAGCATAACATGTAAAAAAAAGTAAGCATGCCTGGATTCTTGACTAAAATTTCTGGCCTGTTGAAATGGCTGGACCTAATTAGCTGGTCATTGTCCCCAAATCATCCAACCACCCTTAAAATAAACAACACAACAATATAGAAATAAAATTCATCTTGCTTTGGACAAGCATCTTCCTTTTTAACATCCACCCTCCAAATTTAATAAATTGTGATACACTAAACAAACTTGAATGCAATATTTTTACAGCATTAACAATGGTATGTTCTAGCTATACAGACTGATAGTAGTTTGTCCCCAACAAAAGGACTGAAGTACATCTTGAACAGTTTTGCCCCCATATAGAAAGAAAACACTATTTTTTCTATAGATCAATTTTCCAACAATTTTCCTTTTCTACCTCTTATTGCATTAGCTTAGTTTCAGAAAACACAACACAAATCTCAAGACACCAGTTGTCAATTGAAGGTAGATTGATTTTCTTTATCTAAAACAAATTGCCATTCAAGCTGCTATTAAAAAATGAGCCAGCATTTTAATACGCTATACAGCAATGTTCTGATGGGGCCAGAACTAGTACTAGCAGTATTGCTATTAAGTCCTACTACTTCATTTTTAACTGGATTCTTTATCACAGCTTAGAAAGGCAAGTTGCTTACCTGTTACTGTTGTTCTTCAAGTGGTCATCCATGCATTCACAGACATCAATGGGGGCTTGACACGCAGCAAAGGCCTCATCTGGTGGAAACTTCCAGAGCTCGTTGCCATGGAGTGGGTGGGAGCCAGGACCTCCCCGCATCCTGGTGGTACATAGGCGATGGCTCCCACCCAGTCCCTCAGTGCTGAAGACCGTGCTGTCCCAGGCGTGTGAGGGATCTGAAGCATCCAGAGATGGATCGGTGATAGTGCCCTGCCCCGGCCCGCATAGGGTGGAAGCTGATGATAGCCAGTGGGGCGAAGGGCAGGTTGTGTGAATGCATGGATGACCACTCGAAGAATGACAGTTACAGGTAAGCAACCTGCCTTTCTTCTTTGTGGTCTCCATACAAACACACACACCAATGGGGTGATTAGCAAGCTGGCCCCTCAGGAGGAAGAGGCTATTGTAACCACAGTATTGATGAGAGGACAGCCCTCCCAAAGGCGCAGTTCTGTTTGGCATGGATGTCTAGCTGGTAGTGGTGAACGAAGGTCAACAAGGTGAACCATGTTGCTGCCCTGAAGATTTCCTGGAGCAGGACACCAGCCAGCAGAGCTGTGGATGTGGCCTGGGTTTGTGTGGAGTGTGCACATGGCCATTCTGTCATCAGGATCTTGGCCATCACATAGCTGAGGGTGATGGTGTTAGAGACCCATTTGGACAGTCTTTGGCTGGAAATGGGTTCCCCGGCTCTGGGGCCTTCATAGCAGATGAAGAGGGGCTCTGAGCGCTGGATGGTCATGGCTCTGGATGTGTAGTAGGCGAGGGCCCTCCTGACATCCAGGAGGTAGAAGGTGGCCTTGATGGGGGTAGACAGGTTAGGGAAGAAGGCAGGCAAGGTGACGTCCTGGTTCAGGTGGAAAGGGGATGTCACCTTCGGGATGAAGTTCAGGTCCAGGCGGAGTACAACCTTGTCCCTGCGGAATGTTGTGAAGGGGGCATCAATCTGGAGGGCTGCTAGCTCGCTGGCAGTTTTCCATGAAAGGAGCCGGAGGTCTGTTGTGGCCATGAGGGCTTGCAAAACTACAGAGAGGCTCCAAGAAGGGAAGCGGGGCCAGGTCAGTGGGGCAAAGTTACGGAGGCCTCTGAGGAAGCAGTGTGCCAGAGGGTGAGTGAATACGGAGGACCCTTGGATGGGGGGGGCAAGTAGGAGATGGCCACTAGGTGAACCCTGTTGGAGGAGGGGGAGAGGCCCACTATGAAGCAGTATTGTAAGTATTCCAGGATATGGTTCATAGAGGCCATGGAGGGGTCAAGGCCCCATGCTGCAGCAGAAGCTGAGAAGGCTTTCCGCTTAGCCTTGTAAGAGCGGTGTGTGGAAGGTTTGAGGGTGGCCAAAAGCACAGCGTTGACAACCTGAGGTAGGGAGCTTTAAGATTCTGTCAGAGGGGGGTTTTCCAGGTTGTCAGGTGCAGGGTCCTGAGGTCCTGGGACAGTAGGTTGGTCCTGAAGGGCAGGTGGTGGAAGGTGTTCCCTGACAGGCAAAGGAGAGGAAACCAGGGTTGCCTCGGGAGTGATCAGGATGCCGCTGGTCCCCTCCCTCTGAACTTTGACCACTACACTTTGGTGATCAGGGGAAAGGGAGGAAAGCCAGAGAAGAGGTCCCCCTCCCATCTGCAAAGGAATGCGTCCTCCAGGGACGCCCTGCCATGTCCTGCTCAGGAGCAAAATAGCCTGCACTTCGTGAACTTTGACCACTACACTTTGGTGATCAGGGGAAAGGGAGGAAAGCCAGAGAAGAGGTCCCCCTCCCATCTGCAAAGGAATGCGTCCTCCAGGGACGCCCTGCCATGTCCTGTTCAGGAGCAAAATAGCCTGCACTTCGTGTTGTTCAGGGTAGCAAAGAAGTCAATCTTGGGCTGCCCCATTTTGTGCACAGGGAGAGGAAGGTGGCTGTCTCCACTTCCCAGTCATGGGGGGTGGAGGTAGTGCAGCTGAAAGAGTAAGCTAGGGCGGTAATGGTGATGCCCCTCTGGGTGCACCAGTGCCAAATGTCTGAGGCCATGGTCGTGAGATGGGCAGAGTGGGTCCTTTCCTGCTTGTTCAGGTAATACATGACGGTGGTGTGTCTGTGGCTACCTGAACGTGGCACCCTAGCAGAGTGTCCTGGACAGGGCCTTCTGGACTCCCAGCATCTCCAGGGCACTGATGTGGAGACAGGCCTCCCTCTGGTCCCATTGACCTAGAGCATGCATGTTTGTGCAGTGAGCGTCCTAGCCGGTGTTGGACACGTTGGTGATGACTGTCACGGAGGACTGGGGGAGGGTGGGGAGGAAGGGCATGCCCATTGTGAGGTTATCCACGGTGCATCACCACAGAAGAAACTTCCTGGCTCCTGAGGGGTGGGGATCAGGTGGGTTGTGTGGAGGTCTTCATCCCATGCAAAGGCTCTCATGAACCACAGCTGAAGAGGTCTCACGTGGAGCCTTGCTAGCTGCAGCATTGAAACCGTGGCAGCCATGGAGATCCCGCAGCTTCTGGATGGTGTGAGCAGTGGAGAGAGGTGCAGCCCTGACGGCTGCAGCCCGAGTGGCAACAACCTCTGCCCTTGGCTGTGGTAGGAAGGCTTTGGCGAGGGTGGCATCCAGGCAAGCCCCTATGGAGAGTATAGACTGTGTAGGGGAGAGAACAGATTTGTCGCAGTTTTTGAGGAGCCCCAGGTCCTGAAGGAGGTGGCATGTGAAAGACAGGCTGCACAGTACATCCTCCCTGGAGGGGGCTGTGAGGAGCCAGTCACCCAGGTAAGGAAAAACCTGTATCCCCTGGAGTCTGAGGTGGGCGCAAGCAACCGCCATGCATTTGGTGAATATGTGTGGGGCGGTGGCTAACCCAAAGGGTAGGACGCAAAACTAGAAGGCCTGCTGGCTAATTTGGAAGCACAGGAAGTGTCTGAACTCCGGGTGGATAGCGATATGGAAGTAAGCATCCTTGAGGCAAACCAGTGTCCTTGATTAAGGAGAGGGAGAATGCCCTGCAGTGTGACCATCCTGAACTTCTTAGGGTTGATGAACTTGCTCACCCTCCTCAATTCCAAGATGGGCCTCGGAGTCCCATTTTCCTTGGGTACTGTGAAGTACCTCTAGAGTAGAAGCCCCTGTGGTCAGAGGGGGAAACATGCTCAATTGCCCCCTTCTTCAGCATGGCTTGTACCTCTGCCTAGAGGGCAGGCGCTGGGGTTGTGGTCTTGATGTTGCCAAGGGGCGGGAGGATAGAATTCTATCCTGTACCCCAACCTTATGATGGAGAGGACCCAGGAATCCAAGGTGATGGCCTCCCAAGCCGGGAGGAATCGTGCCAGACGGTCAGTGCAGTGGGGGGGTAGTGGGTGTGGTGGTGTTGGAGCTCCCAAGGACCAGAGCATCATAACATGTGCCTGTTGTCCTGGTGCTTCTGCTGGGGCCTCTGGAGGGGTTCAAAGTCCTGCCTTTTGTCAACAGGTGGTGCTCTGGGGCACATTGCGAAGTCAGGGAAAGAGCAGCGAATGGGGCCGACTGGGTTCCCTGCCAATTCCTTTGTGCAGAGCCCTG